CAGCATGCTTTGCATCTCTCTTGCACCAACCCCAAAAGAAAGATCAGCTGCACAATCCTTGGTTCGGAAAATGGTCCACATCAGTGTCGTCATCGTACAGGAACTTGATCACATCAAGCGCACTCTTGCCAGCACGCTTGCTCTTCTTGGCACTCCGGAACGAGGGGTCGTACTTGATGGCCCAACGACCAGTCTGGAGAAAACGAAGGAGACCTTGTCGAGCTTCTGCCTTCCGCTTTGCCAAGGCATCGGCGAGGTCATAGTCACTGGCCAGCCAGCGCAGCTCCGTCCCAGTCCGGCGAAGATTATCCCGAAGCTGGAATGCTTGTAGGGCTGCACGCATGTTGCTTAGTCCAAGCAACGGGCTTTCATTTACTTCCACTGCGTCATAACCTCCACGAGAGTCAGTGCAGACGATGCCCTTGACCCGGAGAGCTTGCCGCTCCATAACATCAACCAGATCTTCACATTGAGCTCTGGCAGGATGTAGGCCGCCAGCGCCGTGGAGCTCAGACCAAAGCAAGCGGGCCCTAAAATTGCAATCTTCTGCTTCCAGAACCGATTGCACTTCTGCGTCATTCGACCCTATTGCCTTGCGTTTAAGTTTCCACGTTCGCCAGCTCAGAACGTCCATCTCGCAGATATGTCCATGGATGCAGGATGGACCGGAGAGGAGAGTGATCATCCCGCCGGTGCTGTCTCCGCGCGGCCTATTGCCGTGAGCTTGATCTCCCATGCTCACGAAGATGACGTCTGTCCAGTGATGTACGTCAGGAAGTCGTCGAAACTTCAGCGTGTATGCTTCTTGTCTCACCTCGCTGATCATGATCTGGATTTCACGAGCAGTCTCCAGGGTGCCGTTGGTGACCAGCTCGGTCAGTAGAAGATTACAACGAGCACAAAGTTGTGGTTGAGATTGCGCAGCTAGCCATTGCAGAGATCCCAGGGCGGTCCTGCAGGCGTCAATCTCGGACTTGTGAAGTTCACCTTGAGATCGAAGTCGATCGGGTGAGATGTCCACATCCATGAGCGACTCGACGTAGCATTCCTGACTGACTGTGATGAACTTCCAACCGCGCTCATCCACAGATGTCTTCACATCAGTGCCGGCATGTCTATAGCTGCCTGACTTGATCATGCCCCACGTGTAGGCCTTGTCGATAGCCTTCTTGATGGAGATCCATTCGTCCGAACTGTCACCAATGCGGTGAAAGTCATCGACATGACCACCCATTGCACCGATCGTCAAAGGATGATCACCATCCATACGATGCTTGGAAAGCCAGATCCACAAGCAGCGCTCGCCCAGAACTGGTTGTGCGCCCAGGGAAGTCAAAGTCTTGTGGAGATCCAGCCAAAGTCCTCGAGGGGCAGTAGTGCTTCCGTGGATGTTACGGAGGATCTTCATGATGCCCTCTTCACCAACACCTAGCGCCTCACGAAGTTCAGCAACACCACTTGTCCACAAGTCACGATCTGCTTCAGTGGGTTGTGTCTGCAAGAAGGCCGTGCTCAAGTCCAGACCTTCCAGTTCCCACTGCTTGTGAGCAGCCATGCTATACAGCAGGTTGCGTCCAAGGGTGCTTTGCACAGGCGATGATGTCTTGTAGTTGCTGTCCAAGAGGCTTGGGTGTTCAAAACCCAGCAGAACAATTCTCGCCTTGGCTTTCTTCATGCCACTCGCTGTGTGGGTGGTTTTTGGATTGTTCTGGGCATCATCTCTAGCAGCTTGTTGGTCTTCCGGAGGCACAGATTTCCATGTCAACACCCAGCGTGCGCTTACCACACGCTTGTTGTCAAAGGCTGCTCGCACCTCCTCGCGGTTCTGACACTTGCGCACAGCCTCATTCTTGATGAATGAGTCCACCTCTTTAGCCTTGGCGCGGACAAAGAGAAGACGTTCAACAGCAGACAACTTTGTAAGCGAAACTTCAGAGTCACGAAGCTTCTTGACCATGAAAGACACCGGATTTCGTTCAAGGAACTTCCTTTGACGGTTGGAGAGGTCGCCAATCTCGAACTCCAGTTTAAGGCATTCCATGTCATCGTCAGCTGTCTCCAGGAAGGTGAACAAGTCGTTCGCTTCTTCAAGCGAGGCCTCCACATGGAGTTGTTCCACCCAATTGTCCTGCTTCGGTTTCTTCGCCGCCGGCTCTGTGGATGACTGGTCGTAGTCATTGACATCCGTATTTGGCCTCGTAGTAGAGGATGAGGAAGGTTCTGCAGGATCTTGTTGATCTTGGTCTGGCAGAGGTTCCGACTCTTGAGGCTTTTTGAACCGAACTCGTCGTGATGGTGGTGTGACTACAGTGCTGGAGTCTGGCTCAGGAGGTAGATCAGGTCGTTCTACTTCATCAGCGTGAGGTACCTGGTCAGTCAGGTCTGTGTACTCGCGCTGAGGGAGGATGTCTTGTAAGGATCGCCGCTGAGATGGTTGTTCTTCTCAAGATGTTTCGTATTGGAAGCGCTCCACCTCCGTCACTGGTCTCACCGATGTACCGAACACCTGTATAGCTGGGAACCTATAAGAACCCAGACGACATGACGACGGTCGTCACCGACTTGCTGATGCGGCAGCACCTCGCTGAAGACTACTCGGCCAGGGCCGATTTGCGTAGTCCTCCACGCGGTCCTTGGTACTGCTGCTTGGGCCATACCGGTCGCCAGATTTTTACCAAATCCATAGGAGCAAATTGACGTAGAGGTTGTCGAACCGTAGAATTCGCCAGTTTGGAAAGGATTCGCTTGGCGCGGGTGTTTGTGGCGACCTGTTCGGCCTGTTGTCTGGCAGTGATCAACTTCACAAACTCTCCGCGAAAGTCAGAGCCATGAAACGTTCGGACATCTTCGTCGGAAAGACTATACTGGTGACCAAATGCCCACTGAAAGGCAGAGTATCCAGCCGTGTACTCGGTGGAGTTGAGTGCTGACGCAGCCAGGTGAAGGGTCACCATGTAGTCCTGGTCCAAGGCTTCCAGCTGAATGGCTGATGCCGTCATCTTGATATCCTGAACCACTGCTTCCACAACTCCATGCGCCCAGTGCTCTTTCTCAGCCACAAAGTGCACTTGTATGTTGAGCGAAGATGCAAACTCGTGGAAGGACTCGGAAATGAAACTCTTCCCAGAGTCCATCATAAGGACTTCTGGCTTCGGAAAGGTTGATAGCCATCGCTCAGTGAACGCACGGGTGACATCCTCGGTGGTCTCCGTGCGCATAGCCATAATGTCTCCTAGATGTAGAGAGGATGTACTACCCGTAGTTTGGTCGCTACATCCACGAACACCAGGAACTTGACCTTGTGCTTGGAATGTGGGGCCACCCATTCACCAGCATCCACACCAACAGAATGCCATGCCGGAACGAGACGCATAGTGGATGCCGGAGGAATTTGCCCGCTGGAGGTGCCGCCCAGCTTCAAGGACTGACAAGGGGCACTGATGATCTAGGGCCGCTTGCGCACGCCACTCTTCATGTCCAGCTTCTTTGACAATTCTGGCTAAGTTCCGATTGGTGGGATGTCCCGCAGCCTTGTGGAACTTGGCAATCTGCGCCTGCCAATTTTTGAAGGTGGCTTCATCTACTCCTTCAGGAAGAGTCACCGTCTCGGCCACCATGGAAAGCTGTACTTTACAAGGAGGAGGAAAGCCGAGCTGACGAAGACATTGAAGATCTGAAGGAGGCAGAGTCGAAGCCAATCTCGTCGTATACGCCGAGACAGCAATGCGATATCCGTCCCACTGTTGTGACGCATGCCACGATTGAGGGTCAAAGGAGACTAGCTGCCGCTGAGCATGAAGAATATGGCCTTCATGAAGGTGTCCATCTGGGGCTTTACGTCGGACAGTGGGTCGCCCATCAGGAGGTTTCCCGGCTACCCATAGTCCGCCTTGTCCAAAGGAGCCGACACATATCAAGTGGTTCTGTGAGCCTTTCTCATTATGATAGTCTCGATGAGGCAAGGCGGGACAGTCAAAGGAGATCATGACACTTGACCATGAAGCTTCTGGCATATGATGTCGAAGGAAACCATTGACATATCTGACCAGCTCACTATTCTTCATGGTTGCACCACTGATACCTCCAAGATGTCCATGAGAATATGCCCCCAAGACCAGTACCGAACCCTTACTACCTCTCCAGCGGGAGTGGTGAGCTGAGCGTCCAAACGATTGTCGAGAGGCTGCCAAGAGGATTTGTTCCAAGGCGTCCACGGAGAAGTTCGCCTGAGCCAGGTGTCGTAGAACAAGTTGTCGAAACGATTCTCCTGCAGATGCAGCTGGCTCACAGGTCACAGTGGCTGATTGGATGAGGTCTATCTCCGGAGTGTTCACATCATCGTGGAAGTCTTCCAGATTGTAGTCCATATGGAATGATTCGTTATCGGATTCCATTAGTTCCATATCAGCCAAGGACGGGAGATCATGACGAAGTCCAAGGAGTCGTTGATGTCGATGGGGTACAAGTTGTTGACTCCAATGTCGGGCTATGGCCTGTACCAACTTCCATGGGTAGTACGAAGAAGCTGAGGTGTCCTGGCCTTCGATGGTCTTGTGGGCATGGTTGCCAGGGCACACCTTGGCGCGAAAGGTCTTGTGAAAGTTTTCATCCGTGGTCTTGATCAGCCACTTCTTGTGGATGAAGAACTCACCCTTCACGTCCTTCATGCCATAGTTGCAACCGTCTACACGACAGTCCAGCCAAGGAATTCCATGGGCTTCAAAATGCTCCTTCAAGTCCACCATAGGTTGCTGTCTCCATCCATAAGAGGGCCACGGCCACTCAAGGTAGATCTGTAGATGAGGATCAATCTCTAGGGACTCCTTCAGGAAGGAGTTCAAATTCCATAGCACACGGCGATCCTTGCGGCGAGCTGCCGCCAGTCGTTCTTGCTTCTCCGGAGTATTGAAGTTGATGGATGACCACATACTCCAGCGGGTGCACGGAAGACTGATCCATAGCTTCTTGGGCCGGTGGCGATCTCGAAGAACACGAAGATATGACCAGGTAGAATCCTGGTACAGATCATAGCCATTCGCCAGATTGATACGCCGAGCCTTCAGGCCGTTTTCCTCCGCCGCCTGACTCAACCAAGAGTGTGGTGCGCATGCCACTTCCCAAAGACAGTCACGATGGCCAAAGTGCAGACCCATCAGCAGGCTTGACATAGTTGTAAGCATCATAGTGGCCATTGCCATGACCTTTTTTGCCCATGAAGAGCGGCAACGATGTAGATGTAGATGCCGATGGAGTCGAAGAGGACGCTTTCTGCGCATTCTTTGGGGCTGATGCCGTAGCGCTCGTTGTAGACGTCCGGGAGAATGATGACTTAGGAGCCGACGTAGAAGCAGATTGTTCTGGAAGAAGCTCAACACTTACTGCTGGTGGTCCAGAGCCGCATAGGCCTCCTCGATGCTCGTCTCTTGAGGGCCCGACACTGGCTGCCAGCTGTTGATCGAAGATTCCGGAGGTGATGTCGGAGGAGACGAGGCTTGAGCAGGCTGCTCGGTTGTTGGGGTTGTCGATTTGCCGGTTGTGCGATGTTGAGGGCGGAAGTTCTCCTCGTGCTCGCGAATCAGCTTGTTCAGTTGCTCCTCCGCATCGATCTTCTTCTGCATGGCTGCGCAGATACTGGCCGTCGGCTTGATCTTGTCTTGTAGAAGGCTGCGCAGTTCTGTCAGCATACGTCTGGTCATCGCCGGGTTGTCGAGCTTGGTCGTCTGACCGTGGGAACCCACACGCGGGATGTACTCCATGCGTAGGTTGCAAACTGCACGATGGCGCCAAGCTCCGTGCATGTTGCTCTGTGGCCGCATTGGCACATGCTGTCCCACGCAGGGCCATTGCTTGTCCTCCATTCTCGGATCGTGGGGATCCGCCTTGAGGATTCTCTCGTAGTCCAAGGGTGCCGCCTTGGCTTTGGGCCGAGTCTGTCGGCGAATGTAGTCCGTCACGTCGCGCTCGGTGGGCATGGCCATCACGAGAACTTGGAGGGGAAGTTGTCGGGGTCAAGGTATGTGCCCGGGGCACACTCATTGAAGATTGAGCTGATACAGCTGAGGCACGTAGAGCCTGTGAAGAATCATATAATTAGACGCCACATGCGATCTCGAGCGATTTGTAGCTCACTTTCATGGAACACATGATCAGCATGCAGCTGTCAAGTCAAAGAAGGCTGTGTTTAGCTCAATATACGAATGTTCCCCAACTGGACTTGACGTAGGAGGCCCTCCTCGAACCTTTATATGAGCATGACCCTCGTGGTTCACTCGTCCGTGAGTCAAGTATTGTACCACATCCAAGACATAATGGCCTTTGGTGTTGGTTTCAAGCTGAAAGATGGAAGGATTCGACTCCTGAGTATTCATGGCAAGACCTGTGGTGAAGTCAATCATCATCCCAACGCCCCGAGGTCCAAGGTGATCCATACCTATCAAGACGGGAACTAGGGTATTCTTGTCAAAGTCCGCCTGGAAGTACTCGGCAGGGTTGGGAAGCATATATAAGGAAAAGGTCTTGCGCTCACCTGTAATGAGACTTGAGAGATGAACCCTGCAAAGTGCTCTGCCCCAACGGCCGTTCCCAAACCTGAAATATGGACGAGAGGACTGATCAATCTCCACAGTCGTAGACCGGTCCTGTGCCAGTACAGATGAAATGAGACCACGCACTACCGCCTCAGGTGCTGCCGAAGCGGTCGCTCCACAATCCAGCATACCTCTTGAGGGAGTAGAGGAGGACGTAGACGTCGAAGCAATTTACGCTCAGCTTGTTGAGCCTCACGAAGAGCCGGGTCATCACCAGCTGGACCTGAAGAGGAGTCGGGTTCATGAGTTAGAGCCTGAAAACCTTGTTGAGGTTCTTCTTCCCACCAATCATGGCCCCACTCATCATCACCCCACTGTCCGGCATAGTACGAGGAAGACCAATCGTCCCAGCCATCATGCCAAGCGTCCGACGATTCAGGATCGAACCAATCACCTTCATCAACTGAAGCCGCAAAGTTCTGGAAGGTGTTGCCATTTCCACGTCGATGCCCAAGGAGTTGCTCATCCCACAAATTCTGAAGAGCTGAGGCAATGGTCTCGTAGTCTAGGGAGTTCTTGGTGGTGGAAAGGATGTCACGCTTCTCTTCTGCGGTCAATCCCGCAGCTTGTAGAAGTCGCCAGCCGCGAAGCACCTCCATCTTCTTGGAGTCCGGTACAACGTCCTCAGGGATGGTGGCTAACGTTTAGAGATAATCTGTGCTAGAGCTTGATGGATAATAATATAGGTTATTTATCGTTCCAGGCTGGATTTGGGGCTGAGTTTGGTTCCTGAATTTTTGGGGCACCTGGATTTTGAGCTGAGTTTGGTTCCTGAATTTTTTGGGCACCTGGATTTTGAGCTGAGTTTGGTTCCTGAATTTTTTGGGCACCTGGATTTTGAGCTGAGTTTGGTTCCTGAATTTTTTGAGCAGCTGGGTTTTGAGCTGGATGTTGTTATGGATTTTGGTACTCTTGTTTTTGGGCACCTGGGCGCCGGTGTTTTGGACGGTATTTATGTTGTGGACTCAAAGTCAGAGTTGCCTTACATGTCAGTCGCCGCGCGCTATGCATGTTGATTAGATTCTTGTGGCGACCGCAATCTTATCAGTCTTATCAGACGCGACCAGAACTCGTAACTCGTATTTCAGAGTCCAGGCAAGTCCAACACAATGAAAAATAGAAAGGCAACCCTGTCTCTTGGAGAACCTACCTAGCTGACCTAGCTAGCATTTAGCAGAAGGGGAACTAGTTCAGCTAGTTGCAGCTAATTAGTCCAGTTGGCAGCAAGCATGGACGACAACTGGTCGCAAGTCTTTGCGGAGGAAGCAGGCTCTTCTGCTTCTTTAGCAGAACTGATAGAGGAAGCATGCCAGTGCCGTGAGAACTCCGATTCTGAGTCAGAGACTTTGGACGAAGTGCACTTGCCAGCGCCGGACTCGCCCCGTGTGTGGTGGGTTAACAGACTACGCCAGGTTTTTGCGGACGCGGGCATCAAATGGCCGCGACCACTTAGAACTCCTTTGCAGGTTGTTTCAGCTTGCACGGGCTGCAGTGCAGAAGCTGCAGTTCTCAAGGCAGGGTGCAGTGTGCGTATTGTAACATGTCACAAAAAGCCAGCCAAGCCTTCGCCCACGCGCAGTCTGTGTGCAGGCGCTGAACATTCCTTTCAGTTTGATGGCGGCCTCAGATGTTTGCCCTAGCTACAGGGAGTTTGTCAGCTTGAACTACAATGACAACCCGGAGCACATGTTCTCCTCTGTTGAAGAGCAAACCCGTCCTGGCTCTGTGTGTGAGCTTTGTGCCGCAAAGCAAAGCGAAGATGTGCTGTGCTCTCCCCCAACCTGCCATGACTATGAGAATTGCAGCGTAGACCTGATGATGACAGGTACGCCCTGTAACCCGTTCTCAACAATGAGGTCCAAAAGATACGCCAGTGGCAACCTCAAGGAGCACTCCTTGTTTGATACAACAATGAAATCGGCTATCGCCCTGTATGCCTCCGTAGAACCGAAGCAAGGCATATTCGAACAGGTCTGGGGGTTTTGCCAACCCAATGAAGCTGGCTCTTCTGAGACACCGAAAGACAGGCAGGATGCAAAGTTGTTCCTGTTGTTTTTGTTGCTGTCGCTGTTGTTGTTGTTGTTGTTGTTGCTGGTGTTGATGCTGTGGTGCGACAACTGCTCTTATTAGCTGCCAGCAGTATGTTAGCCATTTTATTAGCTATTAGATTATTAGTTAGTAGTTGCTACTTCTTAGCTGGTAGCAGTCTTGCTACCCAAAAAATAGCTGGTGGCAGCAGCTGGCATTTGGAACTCCCTTCGAAGAGCAAGTGTACCTGCATGCGACGCCGAGCTTTTTCAGGCTCCCAGAGTCAACGACAATGACTCTCCCCCTTGCTGGACCCGGCTCCGCTGTCAAGCTTTGGTTGCTGGGCCTTGACGGTTTCTGGATGAATGTTGGAGTTCCTTTCTTCTTTTTGGTGTATGGCATTCCTTATTATATTTCTGTAGAAAGGACGCTTTTTCATCCCTATAGCCCTAGTTAGGTTCTAAACCCTAAACCCTAACCGTAAACCCTAAACTTAAACCCTACGGTATAAGGTCTGAGCGTTGGCGAGCAAAACATGGTGCCCAAGATGAGGGTCACGTACCTTGATGAGGTTTCCAGGGGCGACCTCTTCCTGCGCCCGGACGACCAGCTGCTTGCCAACCAGGGCACACGCATGTTTGGCTACGTGAACCAGACCCACAAGGATCAGCGGCCAGACTGTGCCAAATCTGTCGTCCTGGCCCCCACGCAGACTGTGCGGTCGCTGAAGAGCAGGTACGACGACTACCTGAGCAGCATGACGATGCCTGACCCTGAGGAGTCGGCTGCCACCTCTTCCGCAAGAGATGGTGAGGATCTCTTGCTGAGTGGAAGCGGACCTTCGCCTGATGTTCCTGAGCCCTTGCGATCGGCCGGTCTGGATATCAGTCATCTTGAGACGGAGCCACCAGCCAAGAAGCGCCGAGTGAAGGCGAGCAAGAAGGCTGAGAAAGGTGCGCCTGAGGCACCGGCAGAGGCGGCGCCAGAGGGTGAGGGCGCAGGCGCAGCGGACGAGCTTGCAAGCCAGACAACGCAGGGCAAGAAAAGCCTTGCAAACTTGGACGAGGGCATGAAGACTGTTGCTGAGAAGCATCTGGCGAGCGATGGTTCGTCGGTGAAGAGCCTTGAGGGTTTGACGCCGGAGGCCTTCTTGTCGACGTCCAAGGAAGACGACTTGCGAGTGCTGGCTGGCCAGTTGCGTGGAGTCAGACACCCAGAGTTCCTGCGTAAGAGTCCAGCCTAGTCCGTCTAGTCTAGTCGGTCTCGCTGAGTCGGAGTCTCATCATGGTAGTTCCTAGGTGGTTTAGGGTTTATTGGTTTTGGATTTAGGTTTTAAGGGTTTTGGATTTAGGGTTTAAGGGGCTTGGATTTGGGGTTTAAGGTTTTGGGGCGTCGGATTTAGGTCCTGGAGTGTCCGCTTTCAAGCTTTGGGCGGAGTGTTCAGCTCTAAAGGTGTCCCATCTAGATCGCAAATTCTAGAGTTTTTGGATGCTCCAGTATTTGTCCAGACATGTTGTCTCGAGGCCAACAGGATTCTCAAGAATCTCCAAGACAAGGACAAGAAGCAGGCTGCTAACATTCTGCTTGAGAGGATCGGAGAATGCCAGGCCTGCTACAGCCTTGTCACGGCCAACTTGCACGACATGAAGCCGGCTGAGATCACTGATTTGGTGATGAGCTCTAAGAAGCATTGGGCAGCCTACCCTTTGAAAGTGCAGATCCGCTTGGCCGCAGCAAAGAGCGCAGAGCTCATGCATGAGCTTGGGTCGGTCTTGAAGAGCAGTGGCATGTCAGATGCTGAGCGCCTGCGAACGGTCTTGAGGTCCCTCGCAGCGAGCATGAGGCTGAGCGCAACAGAGCCTGCTGAGAAGTTTCAGCCAAGGACACCGCTGCTGGACCCGCTCTTGCATGTCTTGTTGGCTGATTTTGAGAAGGCGAACCAGTCAGCAGACACGGACGGTGTCGCTGATATTGGCATGGACATTGAGGCGCTTATGGAGATGACCGCCTTGCAAAGCAGTCAAGACATGTCGCCAGCCATGGCAAAGTGTCTGGAACACAGCGAGGACCTCCGTAGCAACATTGAGGTTGAGGTGTAGCTGAGGCCTTGTAATCTAGTGATGTTGTGTGCCCAAATTTCCTCCTAGTTAGGCGTGGGACCTTTGCTCTAAACCCTAAACTCCTAAACCTTCAGCGCCAACCCTCAAATCATCATTTTTGTTGATCAGCGCTGCTCACGCTTCAAGCTTTTGTGACAGGAGCTTGGCAACGCATTGCTGCGCTTCGTCAATGAGGATCCGGTGTTCTGCCTCTTAAGTAAGGGGCTGGCTGCCAAAGCCTTTCTCATTGACTTTGCACAGGCGATCCTCACATGTTTCAAGCAGCTCCAGGACCAGCAGTCAGGCGTGCTCCTGAACTTCTGGAAGCATGCAGTTTCAGAGCCCCTCCGGGAAAGCATTCGGAGGATTTCAGATGTCATGATCTGCATCCTTCATGTCTTCTGCGGCAAGATGCCCGAAGGCTATGAGCCAAGCTCCGACATGAGTGTCATGAAGTTCACAAAGTACAAAGGAAACCTCGTGCTGGAGCTTGCCATGCGAACGACCTTGCTGGAGGAGGGTTCATGGTTGGCCAACGAGGTGAACGAGATGATCCGCACGGGTGCAACCGCGCGCATGTGCGAGGACAAGTTCCAGGAGCTGACGCAGTTGCTTCAGCAGCAGTGGCTTTATCCATCCGCAAAGACAATCCGCCAGTGCAGTGAGCTCTATGACCACGTCAAGAAGGCTCTGCGCCCGGCCATGACCGTTGACGTCACGCGGGAGTTTGCGGAGAAGTTGCTGCAGGCTACGAAGTAGTGTCCAGTTTAGTGAGTTTAGTGTTTAGGGGAAATTTGATTGGTCCATGGTAGCAGGTGGCAGCTAGTGGCTAGCAGCAGATAGCAGATTGCATTCATGGTAGTTTGTGGAAGTTTTTGAGCCAAGATCTCGAGTTTTTCAGATGACTCCCGAAGCAGTGTTTTGTTTTGTTCAGGTGCGTGCGTTTGTCGATTTTGCAGATTCTATATGCTAGCTATCCTTGAAGAGCCTCCAGAGATTCCAGAGACTAGATTCTAGCATTTTATGAGTTGGCAGGCTGCCGATCAGTTTCTGACGATTGGTGAGAGCATCGTGCCACAGCCACCGGGTAGTCCTGCGCACCAGGTTTTCAGAACAGAGACAGCAGATGCTCTCATTGATGCGATGGGGTCCATGAGCGTGATGCCTGGCATGGCTGACAAGAGGCGCGCAATCCAGGAGCTCATGACTGCTAAGATCAAGGTTGTGGCTGCCCACGACCTGCTTGAGGTCATGCAGAGCGCCACCGTGGAGAACGCCAATGTTGGCAAGGTGACTGCGTGCATGGACCATGTGATGGATGTTCCCGAAGCGTTTGCCCAGGTTGCCCCAGCATGGCTTGAGGTGACGATTCGGCGGATGTTGCTGGAGGATCGCTGGTAGGGGTGCAGGTTGCCTTTGAGTTGGGTTTGTGAAACTAGCGAAGTAGCGTTCTTGGCCAGAGAGGTGTCATC